GGGTGTCTCCTGGACAATGTAGGGAAAAACAAGGCTCTCTGACCTCTGGGGTGGGGATGGTCAGGCCCACCAGGGTCTCTCCCTGTATCAGGTCTCCTGCTTGTAGGCAGAGGGGTCCTTCTCTGATCAAAGTTCAGAAGCCCAACACTGAGAAGAGAGGATGCACCACTCCAGGACAACAGCCCCAGGGTCCACCCATATATCCTCAGAGAATGAGCATTGAAGACTCTCATGATAACCAGGACTGGGCCCCGTGACCCAAAACAACACCACTGGTGATGGATGTGGTTTCAGAGGGCATGAAGTACCACTGTGACCTACCTGACTCTTCACTTAAGGGGTCTCAGCTTCACTAGCAGAGGTAGAGCCTTCGGTGGGTAGGCAGCCTCCATAGACAAAATCACATTGCCTGACATACTGTCTTTTAATGCATAATAAACAAAGAAGCTGGCCCTGGGTTTTTGTCTCCCTTAGGCATCATCTACTGTGTATGTAATGAAATCAGTTCTGTTCTTTTGCTGGAGGCACACTCCCCTGCCTGTGCCAGGGGTGTACCCCAATAATGGGTCTCCTGGTGACATAGTGGGGTCACCTGGAGCAAAAGTCCTGGTCGTCATTGCTGTACCCTGGCCCACAGCCTTATTGTCACAGTGTCTTCTCCAAGCTTGGTCTGTGAGCCAACTTGGCAGGACGCATAAAATTAGAGCTTTCTGAACCACCTGTAGGACATCTGACCCAGTCTTAATCATAGAGGGGCCCAACAACTGCATTGTAAGGGGCTCCCCAGCACATGATTCGGTGTGCATAAGTTGGAGAACCATTGCATTGGTATTGCAGGGCTTTCTGTCTCCATAAAGCTTTCACTCCTAATCAAATATACAAGCTGCCCCTGGACTTGTACCCCATGCCACTCACAGCCTCCATGCCTTTGACCACCCTGCCTCTGCGCAGAATGCCCTTCTCGCCTCCACTTCCAGCCTGGGCTCTCTCCGGAGGTTATCCCGCACCCTAGATACCCTACACCCAACACACCTCACGCCCAGCCAACCCGGGTTATTTTGTGAGTTCATCTCAGTCCTCGGATGGACACTACAGCAGTAGACTCGGCGGCTTCGCGGCAGTTACTGCACAGTATGTGCTTAGGACAGTAAATCCGATCTTTGAGATTTTTGAAAATAACAGTCGCTAAAAAGAACTGGCCGGACCCGCGTGGTTTCGCAAACAGCCAACTTAACGTGGGGCGCAGCCCGGGCATCCTTCCCAGCCGGGGCGGACG